GCGCTTATCAAATTTCCACAAACGATGACAATCAAACAAGGCAGCCGCTGTCCAAAGTCCACACTCACGAGTTCTGTGTAGAAGCAATGAGAAGAATGCGCGGGGATAGGGTGACGAGCATCCTACATGCGAGTGTTGCTGACGAAACGAGTTGATTGAGGTTTGGCCAAGCGCCCACCATCAGCTATTGAGTGAATGTAATCACCAATAAAGTGCACAAAGCGCATATGACAATAGAGCTAGAGACAGAATCAGGAGATGACAGACAGAAGCTGGCGAGCCAGGACATCGAAAGGATTCAATCAATGCCCAAACAAAAAGACAAGCTCACACATACAGACAGACCAACAGACACATAGAGAGAGAGAGAGAGAGAGCTAGCCAGCAGCTAGCCGCCAGACAAGATCATCCAACAAAACAAGGGACATAAATAATTCAATTGTCAACACGCTGAACGATGCAACATGCGATAATATGAGCTGCAGCATGACTAACACATGCCAACCCACCGACCTGGACCCCCAGCCTTAATTTCATACATATATATATCTGGCATCTACTGCTGCTCAGCAGCCAGTCGAAGGACGAGGCGCAAAACTTTTTGCCAACAACACAAAACTTTATTGGGCGGGTCGCCGGAACTACGTGCATAATACAAAAGTAACAACTTTATCGATTTACACGAAATGAGGCTCGTTATTAGTTAGCAGCTGCTGTGCAGGACACTCAGGACATTCGGCACACACAGCAGCACACAGTAGTCAGCCGGGCACAACACATGGTGGCAGCAGCTGGCAAAAGGATTGATGAATGCCTCGTAACGACTTGAGGCAAACGCATTTCTCAGACAGGAAAATTTCCTAATGGTTGAACTTTGAGGGTCTTTAGTCTTTAAAGACTGGGATGTGATTTAAAAAGCAGTCATTTCTGTTATCAATATCTGTATATTGTTTGTAAAATTCCAATAAATATTTGGTAGATGAAAATTTCTTGTTAAAAAGAGGATTATATGTATTACAATATCTTTTGGAAAATTTGCAGACTTGTTTTCTTTTTCTTTAACAGAATCGGAACAAAATCCAGATTTAATAAATCCATCCAATATTTATATTTAATATTACAATTATGAAAGGCCGTATTTCTTTAAATCAATTGGTTAAAATAAAGTCAACTGCCTTTTAATCTATATCTGCGGATTTTATAAATTAAGCCCATAAATATCTAAAGTCGTGTTAACTTTTACAGTTGCCAAGTTCTCAAATAGAACTGAAGGACAAAAAACTAAAATCTTTAGAACTTGAATAGTTTCACATCCGGAATTTGCTCTCAATCTTTCTACTCAATTAAAGTCATTTGCTTTATGCTTGGTGCTCACACATCGCACAAAGTGTTCTACCCACTGACTAATCCCAATAGCTAAGGTCACACCACCACCAGCACCACCGCCTCCGACCCCCGCCCCCTCTGGCTGAGCTGCCTATGGTTTCCTGCTGTTCACTTGTCTCACATTTCTCAAGCATTTTTTATTGGCTTTCTTACACGCCACTTTGCCTTATTTTTTTATGGCTTGCCACAGCAAAAACCTTAAATCCCGCTGCCACACCCCGTTCTGGCAGTCATCGAAGCAGTTTTTTATGATTTGTTTCGCTTGGTTTTGTTCCCCCCTTGCTTTCGATTTTAAAGGCTTGTCCATGTGTGTGTGTGACTTGGCTCTTAACCCACCCGGACCACACCCACTGGCACAGCCCCCGCCCAAAGCCATTCGACAAGTCAACGCTTGGGCCATTTTTTATTGTTAGAAAATTGTTTTCTCTGCAGAAGGAAAGGCAACAAAAAAAAAATTGATTTCTTGTCTTTATGGCATTGTCCTTTTGCCAGCCGATGCTGTTGGCAAATTTAATATGTTATCCTTTGCAGTGCGTATGGCTGCTATTTGTTTGGAAAATATTGAATTTTTGCTAAAGGATATAGGATAACATCTTTGCCGTGTTGCCGCAAAATGAAGCAACTGCCAGAGCGGCAGCCAGTGGAAAATTGTCCAGCATTTGCAGCGACTTAACCTGAAGGTCCTTCCCAGGCTCGTCCTGCGGCCCGTTTTGCAGATCTTTTGTGGTTAACTTATATCAGCTTCGCTTTTATTGTCTGTTTCTGTTTCTCTTTCTGTTTGCCTTATTGTTTTTGTTGTTGTTGTTGTTGCTCTTATATTGGCAAACATGTGTTATGTGTTTATATATTTCAGTCGCCCGTGGTGCTGTTTTTGTTACAATTTTTCATTGCTTTCTCTCGGCAGACACACACAGGCACACACACACACTCCTCATCGCACACAGATACACAATTTATTTTGACCAAATTGAATTGCATTTAATTTGCTGCATTGCTTTTGCCCAACAAATTGAAAATAAATAATAATTCAATTTGTTTGACAGCTCCCCACACATAGCAGAATTATGTAATCGCATCTATATTTTTGCTGAATGGCCATTTCTAATATCCTGACTAAAAAGGAAATCCGAATCCGTGCAGTTTACCTATTGCCATTTGGGTAAACAATCGCATATTGATCAAAAATTAACTACATATTAATCTTACAATGGGCCTTGCGAACCGGCAACGATAACGCTCTTTTACCGAACTTTTATCTTCCGAATCGGATATAATCGATTTGATTATTATTATCTGAGTCTTTTTCTAAGTCTTCATATACTGTTTAATAGATTTAAGCTACTATGGATTTATGTGCAGGGTATTGCAGGGTTAATTAAAGTCGTCTAGCAACTATCGGATAACCAATCGATTATTGGCTTTGCATAAATTTAAAGGTGTGCCAAGTTGCATAAAATGTTAATTTTAAATAAATGCCTGTAATTTGTTGTTGTTGTCCCATTAAGATCATCAGGTATAATATTAAATTACACTTCTCGGGCGCTTACCTGCAAGTCAAAAGGAAAAGTTCAAAGTTAATATCAAATAAATAATATCTTAATGCAGCTTAGGTTATTTTACAATTACAATAAAGAAAACAAATATAATATCAAAGGAATAACATCTTAATGCAGCTTGGGCTATTTTACAATTACGATAAGAAAATTAATTGTAATTGAACTCTGGTAAATACTACGCATCTTTTGGTTACCTTTATTAAGAAAAACCTTTGTGTATTTAATTAAATGACCAAAACCGCACAATTCAAGGAATTCTCCCTTTTTTTTTACTATGCAACAATAACAAAAAAAAAAAAACAATTTACACGCAATATATAGATTTAATTAAATCAATCACGGCAAGGTCTCGTATGTTGTTATTAATCGTTGAAATGACAATTGTTGGGCAAAAGCTTTTTTAAGATTTAAGCCCACAATTGCTAAAATTTTTCCTTTATTTATTTTTGGGGTATTCATTTAAATATTCGTAAACTCTCTCTCTCAAAACTAACAAATAAAAACCACCATCTCATTTTTGAATTTTTTCTTGTGCCCAGCAAACTCATCATAAAAGCATTAGCGCCAATTTTTACAATTTTTTTTTTGTTTAACTGGAAGTTGCACAATGCACATTTTAGTTGGTTGCGCAGAGGGAGGGTGGATCGGTCAGGCGGGGGTTCGTGCCAGGGCCAAAGCACTCATGTGAAAGCCCAAAGGGCAACACTGCAACAAACAGCGGCAAATGATGAGCGACAAAAGAGAACAAAATATACCAAAAGAAACTATGGTAAGAAGTGAACGACTATCTGATACCCTGCCAGGAGTAGAGAAAAAGAGTAAAAGAGACGCTAATTGAAACGTCAAACAAATTTTGTAAATTCTCTAAAGCTGTGCTAATAAATTTTTAATATGCCCTTTTTAAGCAGTTCTTGGCAACAGGGTATGAAAAGCAGGCGCGTTTAGAATTTGTACTTTTATGCAGACAAAAGGACACACTCACATGGAAACGAAAATTCTAGCCAAAATAAAGGCAACACTTTAAAATATAGAAAGAGTATGCACACACGAACACATGTGAGACACACACAGACAATACGGGGCAAAGCCGGCAGAAATACATAAAAAATAATATCATGAATGCAATGACTTTTAATGTACAGTTATTGCGCAGCTGTCTGATGTGTGCTGTGAGTGTGTGTACGTATATGTGTGTGTGGCCATAACAATATATGTGTACAGTACAGCGAGTATATTTTTAATATTGCATACTTTTTTGGCGTTGCTTACATTACGCGCAATGCACAGGACAGAAAAGAGTCAAGTAACAAAAACGTAGCATACTTTTGAGCGGCAAGCGCATTGCATGCACGTACTTTTGCGTACTTTTCTGATTTTTTCCTTTTTTTTATTGTTATTTATTTTTTATTTTTTGGTAAGCTTCATCACCACTTTACAACGGATGCGAGCGGGAGCTGGTGGCGCAGTACACCATCGTTTGGAACGACTGTTTCCCGTTGCACATACTAATAAGGCTAAGTGGCAATGACAAACACAACTGCACACACACACACACACACACACACTCACACACACACACACACACACACACACATAATATACACATGGCTAGCTGAGACCCTCTATTTGGCTTTTTTTTTTTTGGCTCCCTCGAATGTCGCGTCCTTCGCATTCGCGCATTTCACGCTCGCCTCGTTTCGTTTCGCTTTGCGGCAAAATGTCAGTTCTCCAACTACCACTCGGTAAACAGAAATTTCATGACTGTTGATGACCTCATAAGCATGCGTGTTTATTTCCTTTGTTGTCGCGTGTGCAAGGTCCCGTTTTTCTTTCCCCCAATGCTACCCAATTTCGACGATTTGATATTTTTTTTTAGAGAAATATCATTCAAAATTTAACAACCTTTGAATATAATTTAAAAGCAGTTTCTCTCTGCTCCGAGCTGGCTTTACTTAATTGATTTTTAAATTTTAATTTTAGAACTGAATGAAAGCATAGAAAACAAGGCAGGCTATGATTATTGGCAGCTAGCCTTGAGAAACACGTCTATAATATTTGTGAGCAACTCTCATTCCGACATTCAGCTGGACGAGATTCAGTCACACGCAGCTTTCTGAACAGCACATTGTGAATAGAAACGACGAGTAGAGACCCAAAAGTAAGTGCGCTTATTTACCTTGTTTATTGATTTCCCAATTTATAATTGCAGCAGCTTACACATGTCCAAGCCCGATGGTTCCTGGATCAATTGGTTTGTCAACTTACAAGCCAACGAATTTCTGTGTCGCGTGCCCTACGAATATGCCCGGGACAAGTTCAACTTGACGGGCCTGGAGACGATGGTATCCAATTTTCAGGATACACTCGATGCTATACTCGACTCGGAGTTCAATACTGAATATGGCTTTGAGGACGGCGAAACGCACCCCGAAAAGGCCGAGCAGCTGTATGGACTAATACATGCACGCTATATACTGACCCGGCGGGGCATTGCGGACATGTGCGTCAAGTATCAGCGCGGCGACTTTGGCATCTGTCCGCGTATCTATTGCAACGGGCAGGTGGTGCTACCATTGGGTCTGACCGATCGCATTGGCGAATCGCACGTCAAGGTCTATTGTCCGCGCTGCCAGGACATTTATCAACCGAACGCGCGTTGCGCTCTACTCGATGGCGCAATGTTTGGCTGCAGCTTTCCGCACATGTTTTTCATGCAGCTGCCGCATCTGCTGCCAGAGCCGCCGAGCGAGAAGTACACGCCACGGTCAGTGTAGCCCAAAAGCTTCAGAACACTCTTACAAAATAAACCTTCCTGCAGCATCTATGGCTTTAAGCTGCACAAGTTGGCGTTGATGCCGCCATCGGCGGAACTGCCAGCCGGAAGCGACTATCCCACTGCGAACTCCCCCAAGAAGGAGCTGGCGTCGGCAAATGCCAAGCCTGTGGACTCTAACCGCTTAACCAAGCGACGTTACAATTTTTCACTTGATTAGTTACAAATTATATTCAAAATTTTAGCTTATATATAATAAACGGCATTTTGTTGCAGTGTATTGATTTGCTAGCGTAAAGAAACACAATGCTGTTTAAGAAGGTCGCTGGCAACATCTAACACATGCCCAAAAACGACTACTTTTGAGTTCATTTATGAAAGTTTTCTTCTAAACGAAATGTGTCACTCCAAGAGAACTAACATACATATCAGAATGTGCTGGAATAGACGATACAATGCTTTTATTTAGTCAGGTATACCTATTTTTGTTATTCGTAGCTATCGTAACATTATAGAGTGGTAACTAGACTTGAAGTCCCAACGAAATCATAAAATTGGCTCTATTCAAATAGTTAAAATGAACTCAAAGTTCACAGCTCACAGCACAGCATTTTTATTATTATTTTTTCTTTTTAGCAGTCCTTTTCTTCCTGTTGGCTTACAAGTTCGAACAGTTTAGCAACTTCCATCAATGTCAAAGTGATTGTAAGTTGGCGTTGTCATTTCTGCTGCTATTTATAGGCAGCTGTCAAATTGCAAATTGATGCCTGGCATTCGCAACTATCCCATATATGTGCCTAAAGCCTCATAATGCTTCAGTTTGCAACGCCGAATATTTTTTTCTTTTCGTTTTTTGTATTTTTCATAATTTTTCTTGGGCAAAAAGAGATGCGCGTACTTTGAGTTGCTGCTTGTCAAGCCATAAAATGTTATCACAAAAAGTATTTTCCAAGTCAGTGCACACACAAAAGTAGCAGACAGCTCGGGAGAAAGAGAGAGAGAGAGAGAGGGAGAAGGACATACAAAGCGCAGTGCGGAAGGGCGCTGGCAGCCGAGCTTCAAAGCAAAAAGTTGTTCGAGCTCCTTTCCATGCATACACATACACACCGACTCACATTCACACACACACACACACACACGTGAAAGTTACAAATAGAGTTGCCATAAAATTTCATATGCTTATCACGTGCGTTTTGGCAACACACACACACTCGCTGTCTCTTGCGCTCGCCGCCAACAGATGGCGTCATGTCAGAAAAAAAAGTTAAGTAAAGCATTTTTGTTGTGTTTTTGCAGAATCTACGCGGCGAACAATGCTAAAAACTTGGCGCTCAAAAGCTGTGCATGGCTTGTTTTTATTAGTGGTATTGTTGTTGTTGTAGCCGCGGTTGTTGTCACCATTTTCACACGACACACACATACACACACACACCTATACACGCATTCATGACATCCGTTATGCGCCGTGCTTAACTGTACCGCGAGAGTGCACAAAAATATTGCGTTTATTCGAAGTTGCTAGTATGCCGTTGTTGTGGTTGTTGTTGTTGTTGTTGTTATTGTTATTGGTCGATGTGTCCATTTTATTGTCATATTTATCAACAATCAAAGGAAACGCCAAAAACGAAAAAGTTCAAATTGTTGTCTTCTTTTTGACTGCCAGTCGCTGGCATTGACGCATTTTCGCGCCATGCTACGCGAAAAACCGAGCTATACAAATTTTTTTCGCGAAAACAAAAGAAAATTCTAACAACAATAACAACGACAACAGATATGTCAAAATGCCTAGCGCGCATTTGAAATTGGCGTTATTTCTTTTTTTGTTTGTTGTGTAGAAATTTGCTGTTGTTGTTGTTGTTGTTGTATCTGCAGTGACAACGCGAATGCATTCAGCAAATGGAAAATGTGTGTGCCATGCATTGTTGTGGGTCTAGAGTTGACATATTGCACAGATACGATAAGAGAGACAGTCTGTTTTGAAAGTGGTTCCAAGCCGAACCGAGACAAAAACAAAACAAAAAACTTGTGCAGCTTATCCAATGTGAGCACCAGAACTATTCACTTTCTCTGCCAGGCGGAAAGCACAGTGAAATTGGTTTGAGGCTATTGGAATATGCAACCGAAAATGTGTGAAAAACTTGAGATTGACTTTAATTTTGACAAAGAAACTTAAGAACAATTGCAAAGGTGATGCGAGCAACGTAGCAGGAAGTCTCCTGCCTTAAGCTTTGGCATTTGAGCGTCATATTTATGTGCAAACATTAAAATTTTTTATTTTGATTTCGCAACATGTTTAATACCCGGCTCTTCTTTTAAATGCTCTTTGTACTAAGCATATACATATCTGTAGCTAAGTCTGCAATGTAAATAATAAAGAAACATCACTTCAATCTCGCTTTTTAACTTCCCATTAAGTCCTCATATAAAACCCATCAGAACAAACTTAGTTGTAAATACCAAAACTGAAAACGATAAATTTCAAACTAAATCTTTGTCTAGAAGCTCATAAAAATTCATAAAAAACACAGCAAAAAACCAAAAAAGGTGCAGAAAAACTCAATTAAAATTGCTAAAAAAAACATCAAATATAAAAGAAACAAAAACTTTGCGCCTGCAACATTTTGCATTTGGCTGATAAGCCACAAAGTCGAGTGCGAGCAAAAAAATGCAGACAAATTAACGCTCAAATTTTGGCATTGGCAGCGGCATAGAAATGCTGTGGCCAAAAAAAAAGAAGAAAAACTACGGAAAAAGTACGACTAAACAAATACGGACAGACAGTTGGTCGGACAAAAACATAGGGGCTACAGCTGGCGCATTGCAATATGAAAGTGTGGCATACTTGTGGGCGCTGCACACAAAAATTTTGTTTTGGCCCGAGTAGGCGGCGCTGGGGAATTGGGGGCGCTGATTGGGCCAAAAGTTAAGCATTTGTGTTAAGCACGTGTGACCCAGAAAAAATCAAATCCGGGGCGCCATCTGTATATTGCCATTTCGCCGAGCTTATAATGAACTGATTTCGTCTGGCAAGCGTTAAATGTTGGGCTACAAACTTTGCTGTGGATTGGCACAGAAACACAATTAAATTAGCAGCGAGCATGGGTTGAAATGGATTCACTTCTCGCATGTAAAGCCCATGCCACATATTTGTTAGCGCACATCTACAATTTAATGGCAACAGCTATTCGAACAATTTATGCAGGCAAAACATGAAAATTTGAATTTCATGTAAATTTTATGCAACGCATTTCCTTCCTTTTTTTTATATGCAACCACAAAAAGCAGTTAAAAAGAAGAAAAAAATATAAAAAGTTGTTGGTAAGTAGCAGCCCAGCGGGCCGGGCAAACTGCCCAACCAGGTGCTATACAGAGAGGGAGAGAGCCAAGCAAAGATCTTAACGGCCGCCAGCTGTGGACCCGAGACTACGAGACTGACCCCTTAATCTGCATAATTTGCGCAGACAGCAGGCGCAAAAGGGAGGCAAAGTCCAGTTCAGCAACACATTGGCATTATAAATAGTCTAAGATATTTATTTGTAATGAGACTCGAGCCTAGGGAGGAAGTTGCTACGGCACCGCTTTTAGCTATTGCCTGGTCATTGGCTGCCCGGAAGGGTAGTTAAGAAACTGAAACCGAAACCGAAACCGAGGCTGTAGCTGATGCTGATGCTGAATCTGAAGCTGAAGCTGAAGCTGAAGCTGTTGGGACTTTTGTTCGATTAGAACTGTGCTTGCGCAACATCTGTTGAGGGTCGACTTTTTGGCGCAAAGTTCAGCCTAATGATGACGACCACTGAGTTATGTTAATGATAGACCTACAAACTTGATTAAAAACTAAGAACTTACTCATTCAACTTGACTTGCTCGACCGTTGATTATGCGGCCCCACAACTGACAGTTAATATGGGCTATTCTCGTTTTGGAGTTCATTCAACCAACAGCTGCTGGCCTTATGTGCCTATCGTACGCCACAAATGACATTTTATTATTTAATCAATTTGTTGGACGGGCCCACCATTAACTATTTCCACTTAATTGAATTTATGATTCAAGTGTCGACAATTTATTATTGAATGACCAAATACTTTGACAAATGATTGCAGGCCAAAACGATTTAGGTGCGCCATAAATAGAGTTATGCTTGGGGGCTGGTCAAATAGAGTTGAAAAATATATGACTTTTACTTTGATTTTTGTTCATTGTCGTGAATATTTTGAAAAAGTTTCTGGAACATTTCGTAAATTTCTCGGTTATGAACAAACAATATGCAACATTTCTCGAGGAATAATTGTTATCTTTTCACTTGAATAAATTTTGGTATGCAGAAGGGGAAAGTCCCAAGAATAGCCAATTACGAAGCAAGTAAATATTTTAAAATTAGAAGTCTTAAAACATATGGAAAGTAAGAAAGTTTCAGTATTGTTCTCTCGTGCCTTGTGTACTTTCCACCCAACCAAATGTCATGCAAATAAATCTTTAGATCTTGAAAGATTTTTCAAAGTACTACAATCTGAATTGTTTGAATATAAGTCTTACAAGATATCATTAATATTTGAAAATATACAAAATTAAATATTTGAATATATACCACTTATATAATATAACAAATTCATTTATAGTACATACCTAATTGTATAACATATATAAAATATGTATATTCATTCAATATTAAATTCTATTGTTGCCTATTCAAAAACTTACGTCGATGAGCTCAACAGTTTATCGATGCTTAAGATATAAATAATTGACGGGCTATTCTTTTAAACTAGCTGACAGTCATTCGCATTATCCAGGTATAATGGTACTTTTTCTGCTCTTTAAGACATCTTTTAGAAATTTCTCGAAGAAGCTACTCTTTCTGTGCTGTCCCCTGTCCATAAACCAAGTACACAGCCATCAATGTTTAGTGTAGCAATCCCAGCGCCATTTAATGCCGCTTTTCTTGGCTTTAGTCGGTCATGTGCAAGTGAAATGAATTCCTCATGAGCAGCTCAGCTGTTATTGTCGCTGCTTTGGGTGTCCCCAATCCAAATCCCCCCCCCCCCCCACACACACACACACACACAGCATTTGGCACAAATTTCTCTATATATATGCCCATAAATGTATGGAATGGCGAAATTATATCGATTGACCTGTGCCTATTTGATGGGCTGTGGTGCAGGGGGCACTGCCACCAGGTGGACATTCTGTCCTAGCATTAGCAGCACCTTACGCCCCGTGCCCGCCCCGCTATGCTGGTGTCTTTCGTTGTGGCTGTCACTGGCAGACCACCCAAAGTTTGATTGGCATTGGAAGCAGCGGGTGTTCAATTTTATTGTCGTAATGAAACATTGCAATGTG